AGAGTGTGTAGGAGAGAGTGTGTGTGCGTGTGTGTAAGAGAGAGTATGTGTATAAGAGTGTGTGAAAGTGTATGAGGGAGTGTGTGAGAGTGTGTGTGAGAGAGAGTATGTGTGTGAGTGTGTATATGAGAGAAAACGTGGGAGAGAAAGAGAGTATGTGTGTGTACAGGGTGTGCAGATCTTGTCCGTGTGTATGTGTGTGTGTACAGGGTGTGCAGATCTTGTCCGTGTGTCCCGGGTGTCCAGATCCCGTCCGCAGCACGGTGGGGAGCAGTGGGCCACCCGGAGTCAGAGTGTCAGGGTTTGGAGAGCCCGGATGCTGATTGGCCGTGTGATTGGCTGATTGGCAAGTTGCCCCACTTCCGAGTCTCCGGTTGCGGGTCGGTGGAGTGAGGGTGTATCTCGTGGCACTGGGAGCTGTCATGCAGCTGCACCAGCTCTATGAGCTAAGGTTGGGGTGCAGTGCCTGGCACACAGGACATGCCACACGGGTGGCAGCCGCTGGTCCTGTCAGCCTGCACGTTCCAGATGGGCAGGCACTGCGAATGGAGAGCCCGGGAGGGGGACACATCTGTATGAGAGGCGGGGGACCGGGGGTTCTGGCTGGACCTCTGAGCCTCCTTCTTGGCTGTGCGACTGAGTGGGCCTGCACACTGAACCCCTCAGTGCCTTGGTGTCCTCATTGTAGAAGGGGAAGGGTGATGGCACCCAACTTCTAGGATTATTATTCTAAGACCAGAGTATGGCTCCTGGGGCACCAGCCCCACCGAGGAATTTGGTGGAAGCGTGAACACTTGGGCCCCACTCCAGACGTAAGGAATCAGAAACTCGGGTTTTGGCACTGTGTGTTGTGAAAAGCCTCCAGGGACTCTGACGTTGGCTCCAGTGTGAGACCCACCAACGTGAAGGGCAAACACTTGAAAAGGAGCCCTTCCCTCAGCCAGCTCGCCTGTTATTTGTGCCTGGGTTTTGCGACTGTGGCTGGGTTTGGGGGCAAATTTTACCTCTGTCCAGCTTCTTTCTCCTTTCCTGCCTTAAAACTCTCTGTTACCAGCTCTGCACCAGCCTCTCAAGGGTGGACTTCGAGAATCAATCAACCACATCTATAAAAGTCTGAGCTTCCTAGAAGTAGTTGCCCCAGAGACGGGAATGCAAAGGGTTATTATTAGAACTCTGTCTCTCTATCCCCTCCCTTCAGTCTGGGGTTCTCAAGGACCTGGTAAGCATCACTCACCTTGAGAGGGCAAACAGTGGGAGATGAAGGTGGTCCTGCTTCTAGAATCCCCCAGCAGCTGCTGCATGCAAGCCCCCAGCCCACACGGGTCTCCAGCCTTTGCCTGTAGACCTCCCCCTACACACCACTCTTCCTCATCACTGCAGCCCCAGAGCTGGCCATGTATTCATTCATTCATTCATTCGTTCGTTCAGCAAACTTTCCTTGTGCCCCTTCTGTGTGCCAGGCCCTATTCTAGGTGGTGGGGTCAGAATGGAACAAGACAAAATTCCTGCTTTTGTGGACCTGGCATCGTAGTGGGGGAGAGAGAAGCAGGCAACAAGTCTGTACATAAAATCATCTTAGGGTAGGTGCTCACTGAACTCCATGAAGGAGCAGAGCACGCACAGGGCACATGCTTTGATCCAGCACACATGAGCTCCGATCCTGACCTTGCCTCTTCCGAGATATGAGGTTTAGACAAAGCCCTAGCCTCTCCGAGCCTTGGTGTCCTCGTCTATAAAAGGAGGATAGTGATAGTATCCACTTCAGAGACAGCTAAGAAGATCGGGGGAGTAAAATGCTGAGCACGGTGCCTGACACACAGTAAGTGCTCCCTGAGTTAGATGTTTCTGCTCTCATTATGGGAGGTGGCCCGGGCTCAGCTGGTCCTCTGCCTAGAGGTTTATTTGCTAGGGCATCCGTTGGAATCCCAGACCTGGCAGGGACCCCAGTGACTGGCTCCTGATTGTAAAGATCAGGCAGCTGAAGGTCAGATGGGGTTCCGTGACTTGCCTCGGGTCCCACCAGGAGTTGAAAGCATCCTCCTGCTGCTGGGCAGGGCTCGGAACCCTTTGCCTTTACACGAAACAGGCAGGAAAGCATCGTGGCTGAAACAGAACTTCCCAGGGGACTGCAAAGTCCTCTGCCTCCCATCTCACTGCCTACCAGGCATCGTCACCCCATCCTTCCTGGCACCCTCCAGGAAAAGTACCATGTTTGGGGTGGAGGTGAGGAGGGGAGGTATCTGTATCTTCCATTCTCAAAAGTGTACCACGTGGGGCCCTGCTGACTCCGGGGATCCGCCCCCGTTTCTTCTCCTGCCCCACCCTGTTTCATTCTGCCCTGACCCCCAGACCTCCCATCAGGTCGTCCTGAGCTGAAAAGCGCTGGCAGACACCCCTGGGTTTGCATCCAGTGTGCCTGGGGCACTGACACTGCTCCTTCTGCATCAGCCCCTCCGACCTCCGTCCCAGGTGGCGCTCGGGCAGGGTTCGGCATGCATTACCACGCTGCTAACAAGTCTCTCTCTTTTTCCACCTCCAGCCAAACAACCTTCTTGCCCGTTTCTAGACATCCCTAAACCTCCCAGTCTTGTGCCTTTGCTGAAACCAACACCTTGCCCCGAGCTCTCCCAGGAGCACCCCCGGCCCCCTCCTCCGGCCAGCAGCTTCCTGTCCCCAGCCTCCCATATGCCTCCACACCGCCGTCTTGCCCTCTCCAGAAGGCTCCTCCGCACCCCCCAGGTGTTGGCATTCCTCTGTGTACATATACATGGAACTGTAAGCACCTTGCAGCTAGGATAGAAATAGCATCGTAGCAGCCGCTGGTCAAGAACTTGCAATGTGCTGGGCGCTGGCTGCGCTTAACATGCTTCGGGTCACGGAACCTCACAGATGCCCGTGAGCCATCTGTCGTCATGCCCAGCTCATCGATGAGCAACTGGGCTTCAGGGCTGCTGGGCCTCTGCTCTGGGGCACCCAGCCAGGAAACAGGGCCTCTGGGAATAGGGTTGAATTCATCTTTCCCTCCCTGACAGCCTGGCACTGGCTTGCTACTCAGGAAACGTCTGTTGGATCTGTTGGAAGAGTTGAGTTAGCTCTTTAAGACTGGAGATGGGCAGGGAGGGAGGCGGAGGGAAGCAGCCTAGGGTATGGCCTGGTTTTTCTTTATCATGTAGGTTGGTAGCGTGCAGCCATCCATGAAGACCCCACCTACCGCTTCCTACCCAGCTCCAACCTACTGGCTGCCAATAAAAAGGGGAGAAAGGTCTGGAGGTTTTGGGTTGGGGTCCCGGTGGGAACCCCATTCCCAGGTGGAGCTGTCTCAGGAAGAGGCATGGGGAGATGTGCCACTCGCCACTCACCAGACCCGCCAAGACCAGACACCCATTTCTCTCCAGCACTTTCTGCTCCGGCTCCTTTAAAATCACCTCCCTCCTTCGCAGCCGCAGGAGAGACAGCTGGCACTGGAATGCCAGGGGACTCGTTCGCCTGTCCTTGCCCAAGTTTCTCCATTTTGGTCTCGGGCATAAAACTAATCACGTACACCCACATTCAGAATCCTTTCAACTTTTCCAGAGCAATTTTGTGTCGATAGCCACTTAATTTTCACGATGAGCCCAACCAGGTCTTGGGATTAAACCATGCACCTCACTTGCCAGGCACTGGAACTGGGTGTAGAGAGGGGCCGGGGCCAAGGTCATAGCTGGGGAAGTGCAGAGAGGAAGCAGAGCATGGAGGGCTGGTCTTTATATTCGGGCAACAGATATTTATTAAGTGCCTGCTTTGGGGGAGATGTGGGCTCTATACTGAATATAAAAGGATGAAGACAACCTAGTCCCTATTTTTAAAAATTTAGGTAACAAACACATATATAGCACTGACTCCTGCCAGACACTGTTCTAAACCCTTTACACATTAACACATCTAATGCTCACGACAGTCCCATGGGAGAAGGACTATCATTGTCCTCAGTTCAGAGATAAGACAATAGTTACTGGAGTTGCCCAAAGTCACACAGCCAGAAAGTGGTAGGGATTTGAGCCCATAAGTCCAAGTGCCCATACATAGTTTTCTCTTAGGTTGACAGGAAGGACGATTACAAGATGAGACACAACTTGCTGGAAAGGGTTATTCTAAATCCCGGCTCACTCACTTCTGTCCTAGCTCTTTGAACAGGCTAAGCACCCCTGCCTCAGTTTCCCCATCTGCAAAATCGAGATCATTCTCAAGGCTGTTGGGATGCTAAGAAAGATAACACTGCTGGGGTGTGTTCTGTGTATTCTGTGAATATTCGTTCTGAACGGAGAAGGATGCGGGATGGTGGACTGCCAGGCCCTCCTCTGTTCTGAAAGCAAAGCCCCAAAAGCAAGGCAGGGTTCAATACTCCTTTTCCTGATTCCCAGGTGATTGCCAGCTGGCTGTTTTTCCTGGCTCTCCTACAATGCAGGAAGGGTATATTTGGGAGAAGCCCAAACAGGTGTTTGAAACCCGAAGTTACAGGATATCAGGACAAGATGCTGAGGATGATAGAAGATAAGGAATTTCCATCCCTGGAATTTGAGAAAGATGAGAACCCACAGGGTCCTTGGGGATCAGTTGGCCTCATCTCCTCAGGTTACGGTTGGGAGACAGGCCCAGAGAAGGACAGAGATGGCCCAAGGTCACACAGCCAGTTGGGCAGAGCTGGTACCAGAATCCAGGTAAAAGTGCAGGTGAAGTTCAGGGAAAATCCTAAATTCTCCTTGATTCCTTACATAGTAGGGAGGGAAAAAGAATCTCTTCCTTTCGGGTTGTTCAAATTCAGAAAAAAAAAAAAAGTACCAGGTATTTTGCGTGTGTGCCTGGCTAGAGCTCTCGGCCTAATGCATTGCCTTTTCCTTCTAATCGTGGGGAGTGGGAGACCCCTCCTGTCCCTCTCATGTGACAGAGATAGCTCCAAACTCTTAGCATCTGAACATCCTGAGATCCACGATGTGCTCTGGCCCCAGGTCATGGCTACTTACCATCAACCCCGATCTTGCCGTCTCCATCCTTGTCTCCAGCGGCCATCAGTGTCTTGGTTTCTTTCGCAGACAGGTCTCTGGCATCTGGGGAGAAGCCCTTCAGGATGAATCTGGGGAGAAAAGCCAGGGAGGGAGTCACGTGGAGGTCACCTTGCAGGAACAGTGTCCGGATGGTGGGCAGGCACCTGCGCAGCGGCAGCGGGCAACTGGGAGAGGCGACCGGCAGCGGGCGTGCAGCAGCTGTGCTGCGCCGGGCGGCCTGGGCTGCGGCTGTGCTTTAACGGGTGGGCGTGCAGGGAAGGACAGGCCATCCTCGGCGAAAGGCCGACCTCACTCCAGGCAGGGCACCTGCATTTGCTTTTTTTTTTTTTTTTTTTTTTTTCAGCCAACCCCACAAATGCAAAAGTGTCTTCTCTGTGCCGGGGCCATGCTGGAAATGGGGGGCCACAGAGAAGGAAACCACCCGAAAAAATGAGGAGGAGGTGGAGTGCTCAGAGAGAGACCACACAGGGTGATGGATACACTGATGGGGATAGAGAAGGGTGCTCAGAGGATGCATCCATCCCACCCGGGATGAGGGGGAAAACCAGAGAGGCTTCCTGGAGAAGGTGACGCCTGGAGGACAAGTAGAAGTCAGTGTGTATATGTGTGTGTGTGTGAGTAGGTAGAAGGAGAAGGTTCTAGACAAAGGGTATCCTTGCAAAATGATTTGGGGTGAGATTGGATGGGTAGGGAGGTTCCTACGGAAAGATCTCTCTCCACACCCTCCCCCTCCTCTTTAGGACGAAATTCAAGGCCATCTTGGCCAGAGAGTGATGTAAGGCACAGCTGGGTGGGGAGACATGAGCCAGGTGCATTTTCCTAGTCATAATCTTCCCCTCCTCCGCTTTGTTCTCAGGACTTCTGAATCTCAGAGTTGGTTCTGCATCCCCCACTTGTCCAGACACTGCTTTAGCTGCGCTGGTACAGAAGGGGGGATGGGGGTGTGTGGTCTGCAGGATGGTGGAGGGTGCCTTTGAGGCAAATGAAAAATCAATGAAATAAATACTCCAGCTAGCGCTCCCTGTCTTGCACATGGCGTTAGGCATCCAGAAAACCTGCCTCTTCCTGTTTAATTATTAAGTAGCCTCATTCCATTAGCAATATTAAGTGGCTATAATTTAACCTAGTTAGTTGCACTTTCTGCTGCCGATTTCATTCTTCCGGAAACAACAGTGGTGAAGCACAGATATTTTCTGCCAAATGTGCAGAGAGAAGGGGCAGATCTGATGGGCCCTCAGGAGCCAGAGTCCCAACCCCCACACCCTCTCAGGCTGGGCAGTCCCTGCAGGCTTCAGTTTACCCCAGCTCATCCTCCTCAATGAAGCCGCTCTTGTCTTTATCCAGGATGTGGAACACCTTCTTTACGTCATCTGGGCTCTTCTTCTTCAGGCCGACCATTTGGAAGAACTTTTTGTGGTCGAAGGAGTCGACAGCTGTGGGGGCAGGGTGGAGAGGGTCCGGTTAAAATGAGGACAAAGGCGGGGTGGTAGGGAAGGGCAGGAGGGGCAGTAGGGAAGGGCAGGAGGACAGGGGGTGTAGCAGTATTTGTTGATTTGAGCAAACTGGGCCAGTGCTAGGGGATGGAGGGATGCTCCTGTCTGGCAGGGCTGAAGGAGCCCGGACCAGCATGGATGGATGGATAGTGCTTGGCCCAAGGTCACACAGCTAGAGGTACAAAAGGTAGACCACTCTGCTGTGCCCTTCACTGGGAGCAGGATAGCCTTTGAAGACAGAGCAGCTTCCTGGCTTCCATGAAGGCTTTTGGGTGTTGGCTGAATGGGGATGGGCTGGAGATTTGGAGGTGGTGTGAACGTGGTGTGTGTATGTCGGGGGGCTGACCTTTTTTCTCGGCCACAGATTGTATTGCCAGAAAATCGACCAATACAGGGAAGACAAGTTTCTCTCAAGGTCATACAGGGGGAGAAGGAGGGGGAGGACCCAGAAACCCTGGCTTTGCCACAGATATCAATTCTGGTGGGAGTTGGGGACGTGTTGGAAGGCTCCCCAGGAACTCCCAGTTAAGTTTCTTTTCAGAAGGAGCAAGGTTGGTCAAGGAGTCTTGGGTAGGTTATCCCAGCACCCCTGTAAGTGTAGCCTCCCAGAACTTCTTCATACCCGGAGGAGGGGGATGCCAAGCAAAAAGGAAATGGGATGCCTCCTCCCCAATTTTCTGTGTGCTGAGCTCCCTTCCAGGAACACCCGAAAGGGTACAATCAGAGTAGTTTCAGTGTGGTAGGGAGGGAGGGGTCCTGTTGAGAGTCATGTTTTCCCCTCAGCCTTGAGCTGAGGGAAGGACAGGTCCTCTGTCCACCTCTGACACTAAGGAGGGGGACCAAGACCTGGAGGTGACCTTAGTTCTAATCCCCCTTCTGTTCTAGGTGACCTTGAGCAAGTTTCTGGTCTCCTCCCAGCCTCAGTTTCCCCAGCTAGGAGAGCAGAGGGAAGAAGCAGGTAGGCAGCTGAGTGCCCAAGTCCAAGGCAACTCATGGAGGTTAGACTGCCCGCCCCCCAACCTGGGCAACCTATGGAGGCTGGAAGTTGCAAGCGCTGATGATGCCCCGCGCAGGGTTGGGCAGAAACAATGCCAGCTGCGGGAAGGTCACCGCATTCGATCGCTGGAACGCTCGATCGCTTGCCTCGATCGCTTGCGGGTCCTTGGTGGTGGTGGGGGGGCGGGGGGGTGCCCTGGGCCCCAGAGAGGGGCTTGGACTGCAGAGGAGCCAACCACCGCCAGCCAAGTAGAGTCCCGTTCTGAACCGGCCGAAAGGGGCTGCTTGGAGAGAAGACGTGCGCACCCGCGCCCCTCCAAGTGCCTTAAAGGGGAAGTATCAAGCGCCCACAAGGACCTGGAAGGTCCGCTTTGGACCCCGGTGTTAGCCCTTTGTCCGGACCCCGAGTCCTCGCAGCACGGCCCCCCTGTCTTTGGCACCAGCAAGTTTCCGTTGTCCCGCAGAGCACCACCCGGCCTCCCCACCGGCTCCCTGCGCCAAGTCCCTCCCGAGAGGAGTTGGGAAATGCCGAGGAACCCCCTGCTCCGTCCAGCCAGCTCCCCGCAGGATGCTTGGGCAGAGGAGCGCTCCGGAGGATTTTTAAGCCCCGCGACCCGGGGGGTGCAGGGCCAGGTGGTGGATCAGGGGAGAGGGCTGGGGAGGGGAGCGAGCAGCTCACCGGTAAAGGCCCCCACTGCCTTCTTGATGTCCTCAGCGCTGAGCAAGTCTGTCATCGACATCCTGCAACTGTTTGAGCGCGCAGAGCAAGTGCGAAAAGATTAAAAAGTGCTTTTCTCATCATTTCTGCTCATATGACCAGCGCTGCAGTGCTGCGCGCCGGGCGCACGCCCGCCGGCCTGGCGCAGAGCCAGGGGGCGCGGGGCTGGGCGCGCAGCCAGAGCGGCTCAGTCTCGCAGCGCTGCTGGGGACCGGCGGACGCGCCGACCCGCTGCCGCTCCCGCCCCGCCCCTCCGGGGGTCCTCGGGATCCCTGGGGCCACGGCCCGGGCGCCCGAGGAGGGGGCGACCTCTGGAATTGATGGGGCGCCCGCGTCACCAGCCGGGGCTGGAGGGCTCTCCTGCCGTCAAGGGCACGCAGGAGGCGCCCGCCTGGTGCGGCGCAGCTTCTCGGGTCCGTGCATCTCGGAGGATGTCCCGCCGCTTGGGGGAGGATACCCGACCGCCAGGGGCCAGGCCTACAGCCTGGTGGGCCCCTGGGTCCTACTCCCGTTCTGTCTTCCCTCCTACCTCAGCCTCCGCTCTTGTCTGTCCTGGATGCAAATTTATGCTGCAAAATCTGAGCGCTGAGGTCTGGAAACCTGAACCCCAAGGCCACTGGGAGGAGGCCTTGGCTGCTGCCCCGCGAGCCCTTTCCAGATGCCCCATCCCACATCTGGCCAGGGATGCACTGAAACCTTTTTTTTTTTTCCCCTAGTCTGACTTTCCAAAGAACTGTTCTCAGATCTCCACTAACTACTTGCTTCCCTGGTCTCCTGAGCCACCGATTGTAGTGTGGGTCCAGACTCCTGGCCTCCACAAAGCTTTTGGGAGAGGGGAGGGTGGAAGAGGCTCCTTGAACTCTTTCTGCACCCTCTCCCCACTAGGCGACCAGAAGACCCATGTCTGGGGAGAGGCTGGAACCTTCAGACCACACTTTCTAGACAAGCTCAGCAGGCTTCATGGCTTGAACTTCTCCGGGAAATGTGACACTTCCTAATCTTAGGCAGCCAGAGACCAGTTGCATTCTTTCTCACAGTCTCCCCAGGATTCAGGCGGCAACCAGCAGCCTCTACAGTTTGCAGAGCACTGGACGGGGAGTCAGGATGCTTGGGTTCTAGATCTACGGCTGTGCTAAGTCCCTGCATGACCTTGGGTTATGACCTTCTCCTTTTCTGGTTGTCTGCGTCCCTCCCTTGTGTTGATGGTGTTGGTGGTCCCTTGGGGTGGGATCTTGAGCCTCCAATGGAAGGTGTAGGCAGGTGGGCGGGGCTGAGTCTGGTGCCCCTTGGTGGGCCGCTGGGGAGAACTGCCCAGCTGCTCGAGTTCCTGCACACTTGCTGTCAACACTGTCTCGCTCGGCTCAGCCCTGGACGGCTGCCCTTCCTGGAAACCTTAGGACGACGCCACTCGGGCTGCCCCCTCCCTGTGAGTCAGCTCCTTCAGTCCACAGCCCTCCGGCTGGCTTCTAAGGAGCAGAGGCTGTGTCTCCTGACCCGCTGTCTCTCGCTGCATGGTCCTCCATGGACCCTTCAGCAGCCCCTGCTGTCCCAGCCCCCAGCCAAGCTGTTCACGTGGACGTGCTGGGCTTCTGTAAAATTATTTCAGCCCCCAGGCTCAACTCATTTCAGGGGCCTAATTGGAGAATCTGTTTCCCTAGCTGAAGGATCCTTATGTTTTACTGGTGGGGAAACTGAGGCCAGAGAGGGTCAGTGAGTGACCTAAGAACACACAGCAAGGCAATTGGCAGAGAGAGACCCCCTGCTGGGTCTGCTAACTTGGATTTCAGTGACCCTCATCCGTGGAGCCCCTCCCCCCTGCCCAGGACCCAGCCCTGTGAAGTCCCACCCATCTGGGCCACAGACCATGCCCAAACACTGACCCCCGTGGCAAAGGCAGGAACCTCAACACAGGCCCATTCTCCCTCTTTCCTCCAACTCTCCCTGCTAGAGAAGCCTTCCATCAGCTTGACACCCTCTCTGGGCCAGAGTCCACCCAGTCAGAGCACCAGACGATGTTACTGGGGCCGACCCGCCAGCCCTCCATAGCCCTTCTTCCTGCCTCCTCTGCCCACTCATGGGCCTCCTGTGATGGCATCATCAGAGTCCACAGATGCCTGGCTCCACCCCTCTCGTTCCAAGGTGGGGAACCTGAGGCCCAGCCAGGGGGAGGGATTTATCCCAGGTCACACCAGGAGTTCGGATGGAGAGCCGAGGAATCCGGACTCTCAGACCTGGACTCCTCAGTGGCTGACCTTTCAGTGCCCCCTCCCAGCCCCGTCTCCCTGGGGGCAGGGATGATGCGGCTGTCCCTTCCATCTGGCCTCTTCCCCACTGTATCCAACCTTCAGCTTCACTAGCTGCCACTCACCTTGGGTGGCGGAGGAGGGCTGGAAACTGCACTGAAAGCCCCGGGCGGGTGGGAGGTCCTGCAGGGAAGTGAGCCTTGAGGTGGGATGGCCACCTATATAGGCTTCTGCTCTGGCTATTTTGGGAGGTGGCGCTACCCCCGGCCCCCGGCCCCCTCCCCTTCTGGTGTCAGGTACTTCCCAGCCTTGGTACTGGGTGTCTGTATCACATTCACCCTCCCTGGGCCCATCAAGCCAGGCCTATTAATAACCCCTGGCCCCTGTCTCCCTCCGGCACCCAAAATTGAGGCTCAGGCAGGGCTCTCCTCTTCCACGAAGCCTTCCGTGACCACTTTAGATGGCAGCACTGTTTCCAGCCTCCAAAATCCTGCAAGGAAAGGAAGAGAACAGGTGAGCAAATGAATAGAAGAGGAATTGTCCTCTGTGCATTGCGCTGGGCTGGTTTCTTATGTGTACACCACCTCCTCCCTAAAGCCTCGCCTGGTCACTCTCACGTGGATGAGGAAACAGCACAGACACGCCAGGAGTGGTGGGAGTTCCGACTCAAAACCACGAACCTGGAGCTGGGTGTGGGCCCAGCACTTGGAGGACATGGGCTAGTGTATGGAGATACGGAGAGCCCCTTCCTGTCTTTGCATTCCCATCTCCCCATCTGTAAAATGGGCTCAATTGGGGGTCAGCTTTGCTCTATAGATGGGTTTGCGGGTCTAAGAACCCCCTGAAATTTTGTGCAAAAAAAATCACATGCAAATGTGCTCTTGTGTAGCAAAGGTTTGTAGTTTTCATAAGATTGGCAGGGGGGGTCTCTGGCACGATCTGTCTGGCACTGGAGACAACCATCTAGGAGGTCATGCTTGAAAAGCATGAGTGAATGGATGAATGAATTTAACATATATTTATTGAGTATCTCGTATGAACACCATGAAAGTTTCCTTCCCTCATCCCCAATCTTAAAAAGAATCTCCAGGGTACTGACATTATCTTGAGCGTGACGTGAGGTGGCCCAGCCTCTCTGCAGAGTCTGTTTGGGACAGAAGCTGTCCTAAGTCCCTCATTGATCCCTGACCCCATGGATGGAAAGAGCAGAGGGTGGGCTGGATGGGGAAGCCGGTGCTAGAGCCTGGATGCGGGGTCCACCCAGGATCTCCTGATGTAGCCGTCTGGACTAGAATGACAGGCATGGCAGCAGGGAGGCATGAGAGATAGGGAACCTCTCGAGGGAGACTTTCGCAGGCTTGGGGGCTGTGGAATGCATCTGAATCTAAGTTTGTAAGCTGGGTGGTGTGCTGCTGTGGAGGGTGGCGAGTCTGGGGGAGATGACGCAGAGCTGAGAATCCTAGGATGTTAGGGCTGAGAGAGGCTCCATTGTGATCTACTACAACCTGCTCATGTAAAGGGTTAGAAACCAAGGCCAAGGTGACAGACACAAATCATGCAGAGCGTGGTGGGCCAGCCAGGACATCCTGTTGAATCTGGGATGCCTGAGGGACATTGTGGTGGAAATGCCCAGAGATCTACATTCTGGAGAGAGGCAAGACTGAACATAGAGTTTTGGTAGTTGTTAAGGAGGTCATGGACTGGAGGTCACGGCCGTGGCTGAGCTCTGTGAGGTGGGAATGAGACCGAGCCTTAAGGACTGGCCCTTAGGAAGATCCCTGGCTAGGATCTGGGAAAATAGTTGTGTTAAGCATGGTGTACATTGCCTCATGCTTTCATCCTTGTACCCCCTTATGAGCTGGGCATTGCTTTCCCTATGTTACTAACGAGGGAACAAGCCTAAGAGAGGTTAGGTAACTTGCCTAAGGTCACTGAGCAGGGCTAGGACTTAGGTCTCTCTGACCCCAAGGCCCTTGCTCCTGTCCCCTCTACTATCTTGGCTTCCTGATAAGACTAACAGGAGAGACACAGTAAGGTCAGAGCTCATCGTGAGTGAACCCTTGGGAACCAGGATGGCCTTCCTCTGTACACCCACATGTCTTCTGCATGTGCCTGCGGTTAAGCAGGTCTACATGGGGTGAACCGCATTGGGAGGGCACATGCGCTGAGAACGTACTGTGTGCTCAGTGCTAAATGCGTGTTATTTTGTAAAAGAAAATAACATTATGATCATTATGATCCTTGGAGGTTTAAGAAGTAGCCTTTCTGGGAAGTTTAGTGACTTGTCCCAGACCACACAGCTTGGTGTCTCTTTCTCAGCTAGACCCCGTACCGCACCGGCCACCTTCTCAGACTGACTGTCCCCTGAGGGTTCCCAAAATGGCCCTGTCCTGCAGGTCCAAGTCCTGCGGGGAAAGGGGAGTCCACTGCCCCAAGATCTTGATCAGAAGTCCCAGACCTGAGTTTCTTTGGCTGCGGTTAGCTTGGTTTGGTCATATGCCCTCCTTGAACTGGTCACTGTCGTTTAGCGAGGGCTGCATGGGCCTGGGTCACAAAGCAACTTCAAGCCTGGAGGAGGCAGAATGTCCACCCCATTGGAACCACCGGAGGAAGGGGCCTGTCCCTGGACCTAGAGGTAAGGGATTTGGGTGGTCAAAGCCCATGGACTGTTCAGAGAATGAGTCTTGGAGGTGGCCCTGTGGCCCGGGAATAAAGGAGGTTTATGGCCCAAGTCCTTGGCGGGTTTGATGGTAATATGCAGTCAGCCTCTGCAGTGATTCATTCTAGGGCCCAAATTGGCCTTTCAGGGCTTGAGATCCCCAGCCCCTTCCTATCCCTAACAGGCAGCTATTCCCATCCCTGGGGCCTCTGTTCCAAGACAACACCCCAGCTCAGTGGAATTTCCCCGTTGCTTCTGGGTTTCTTACCGCAAACAGCCAGGAGGCAGCTGGGTGGGTAGGTGGACGACATACCCCTAGTTGACCCCGCCTCTTCCATCCTCTGGGTCCCCATATTGTGCCCGACCTTCAGCTGGACACAGCCACACGCATGTTCCCAAAGCGGATCCCAATATCCCCTTTTACAGATGGAAAAACCGAGTTTTCCAGATGTCAAGTCACTTGCCCAGGGTCCCAGGGCACACGGAGACCAGAGCCCAGGCTGTCTGTCCCCAGCCCCGTGCAGGGTCCAGCGCACTCCCCGAAGCCCGCTCCGGCCTCCCAGCTGCTGGAGGGGGACAGGCCAGCGCGTGTGGGTCAGCAGTCTCGGAGCTGCTCTGGGCCAGGCGACGAGCATTCAGCTGTTTGCTTAACTGGTCCTCTTGCATTAGTTCTCACTGTTTCCACCTGCTGCGGCCAGGAACAGGATACAGAGTTCCTCACATCCAGGGCCCCGGCAGGCTGGGCGGACACTGCGGGATCTAATGATATGTATGAGGTCAGCCCTGTGGTATGACGTGTATTAACTCGAAGGAATCTCAGCCCCATTCCTGAAAGCCAGATCTGGGGCCGGTGGCCCTGTCTTCCCTCTGGCCTCTCTCCTGTACTTAAGCGCAATTTCGCCGCTGAGACAGAGGTCAAGGGGCAGAGGGTCCTAAGGGTGGTACAGGCACACAGGCTCCCTACAGTGGCACTGTGTGACCTTGAGCTAGTTGCCCCACCTCTCTGGGCCTCCGTTCTTTCCTTGGGCAGTGATGCTGAAGGGAGGCCATGGAGAATACCAAATGGGTTGTGTCCAAGTAGGGGTCTGGAGGCTATGATATCCACAACGATAGTCAGGGTGGATGGTTATCACTGTGATGAACTTGCCCTTGAGCCTGTCCTGCCAATGGACGAGGGAACCCTGGAGCGGCTTTGTGGAGGGAAACCAGGGTGGAGAACCCGAGCACCAGCACCTGACCGCCCCTGGATTTCCCAGGATGGTGTCCGGGACCAGGCTGCAGGTCCTTGCTGGGTGTCCCCCACTTCCCCACCTCCAGTGCCCTCCTGGATTGGGCTGGGTTCTGGAAAGTGAGCCAGGGGTGAGCCTGTGAGCCATGGAGATTGTGGCCCTTGGACATCCGGGTATGTGTCCTTCCCTTGAAGACCCCATCCCGTCTTAGTGGTGCTCAGGGGAAACGAGGGAAGAGTTAGGTCCCTTTGTGGGCTGGAGTAATTCACGGGAGCATGGTACCCCATGGCCATGGCTGGAGTAATTCAGGGGAGCAGGACACCCCATGGCCATGCCTGTGGTCATTGGAAGACTTGGTGGCAACTGGAACGGGCAGCCTCTGGGATTTCCCTTCTTGCGTTATGCTGGGTGATGCTTGTGGAGAAGCAGACAGAGGATGGTCTGCAGAGTTTTAAGAGCTCTCTTGGCTCCCAGGCACCTGCTGACATCAGGGGAGCAGATGATATCAAGTCTCAAGCCCAGCTTGGATCAATACGGCCATCTGAGGTTAGAAAGGCAACGGGCTTTCTCACGTTATCGTCTCTTCCTCAGGCACATAGGTAGCTGTGGGGGCAGATGCTGAACCCTCTTGGGTTGTGTGTATGTGGGACTCCGGGCCAGCCCTTCCGACTTAGGATGGTCAGAGCCCAGCACTCCCCTGGGGGACCCCAGGGTCTCTAACTGTGCTCACGTGTGCTTTCTGGCATCTCACATCTTTGTGCCAAAATCAGGCACGTTCTAATGTTCTAAACTCTCCCATAGCCAACGGGAAAGACAAAGAATTCATCTGGAGACATTTATCTGGACCCCCGTATTGTGGGCCGAGTGTGCTGCCTGCCCCACATCCAGCTGTTGAAGTCTTAACCCGCAGGACCTCAGAACATGACTGTATTTGGACACAGGGTCCTTGCGGAGGTGACGGAGTTAACATGAAATCAGTAGGGTGGGCCTAATCCGACGTGACAGTGTCCTTCTAGAAGAGGACACGGGTGTGCATGGCACCGAGGGAGGCCACGTGAAGACACAGCTGAGGACGGCCATCTGCTAGCTTGGGAGTCAGGCCTCAGAAGCAATCTCGAACCGGCAGCCTCCAGACCTGTGAGGAGAGAAGTATGTGGTCTACACCCACACCCGCCCCCTCCCTGCCCAGTCTGTGGTCCTTTGCTGTGGCAGCCCCAGCTGGAGGCGCCCAGGTGTAAGCGGGGAAAGGGTCTCCCTTTCTACGAGCATGACCCAGAAGCTGGACCACATTCTTGTGACAGCTCTAGGCGTCC